CTGTTTTTCCACACCCATGGTCACAATAACATCCTGGAAAAATAAGGGAGTCAAAAATCTGTGTAACAACTCCATAATCACTTGGGTCAAGCCAGATATAGAATACAAAGAGACAGCAATATTGGAAATAGAGGCTATTGAGATCTGACTTACAGAAGCAAAGGGGGAGAGAAACAGCAGAAGAACAAAACCTGAGACATATTTATCTCCATCTCCCAGCCTCCACATACCCTTTTAAAAAAAGATTTCTTTCTAAAAACACTTGAAAGAATATAGGTTGAAGAATTTTTCTGAGTAGGCTGTGACCACTGGGGACATCCTGAAGTAGCTGGTGGGAAACTGAAAGCAAGAAGAGAAAATCTCTGTTTTAGCTGAATTGAAGGGCTCCTTAAATTACACACAGTTCTTTTACATTGTCAATAAATGACTAATAAAGGCAGTTAAAGAACTTAACTAAAAGGATATCTGCAGTTTATAGCTTCCCCTGAAGGAAGAAAAGACTTTCAAATATAATTTTCTCACTATAAATTATTTTTTGGAGAGATTACTCCAGTGGGGCAGGGGGCAGGGTGGGAGGACCAAGATTGTAGAGAATGGAAGATTAAGAAAAATGCTCCCTAAGGGTGAGTTGGCAGAAAAGAAGACTTTGGCAGAGCTTCTTTAGGAATCAAGTCAAGTGGAGTGGCGGGATTGGATGGTGTCCAGGTAAGAAATAAACTAGAATCCCAGTGCTGGGAAAATGTACGCATTTTACATGCAATCCTGAGCTTACTCACTGCAATTTAAACCTATTTCCTTTTTGCTCTTAAGAAAACATAACAAATAATTGGTGACTATTTTTCTGTATCCTAGTTCCTTAAATTAACTCTTAGAAAGCTGCAACTCTTCAACCTTCTTTTCCTCAGATTAACCAAGAACATCCATCTTTTCCCATAGGTACAGTACTATTTTCCAGCCATCATCAACTAATCATCAATCACTTTTGAATATTTTTTCCCCACCAGTTTTATAGCATGGCCAAAAGACTATTTGCCTCAGAATCGTAAATGTGGATTCCCAGGCCATACACTGTACCTACTGAATATGAGTCTTTGGAGATGGGACTCTTATCCGCACCAAAATTTGAGAACCACTACTTTAAAGGATTCCACAGCTCTCAATTTGAATGGAAAGATCTGAATTGAATTTGACCAATTATCTTTTATCAAGGACTTTAGCAATTTAGTTTAGAGAACATTTGATGTATTTCTTAATAAATTATATTCTAATCCCTCCCAACATCATTTATTCATACTGAAAAGCTACCTATCTTTTACTTCTGACATGAATTATTAAAATTACTGAACTAGTATATGGCAAGTCAATTTCAAAGTATTTCTTAAATGAAATAGGCTAAGAAAATCATGATCCAACAAGTCAACATCTATTTTTATTCTTTTCTTTTACGGAGAAGTCTTGAACAGCCTGTTTTTTTCTCTTGATATATAAAATTCTAAAAATGGGAATTTTTAAAAGGAAGAAATGATGGCATATAACTTCTAATCTTTGCGGCATTGGTGGATATCATTACCGTCTTTCTAAATCTTTCTTTATGAAGGAAACCAAAGTAGTAGAACTGCCTATTTCTTCTAATACATTTAACTAATGTTCTACCTACCTAGAAACCAAGTGAAAGCTCCTAAATAATTTCTGACATGAGCTAAATTTTACTTCTGATTCATAATGACTGATTATAACCCTATGACAGTTACAGAAAATTAATTAGTTATGAAGAGGAAGAACTCTAGAAATAAAAATGCAGAGGCAGAAATTTGAATTGTAATCTTTTTCACACCATGTGGAAATAGTCACATGGAATTAAAGAACTTGGGTCATTAAAATAATATTAAGGAAGCTCTTTATTATACATTTTTAAAAAATAAGTATAAGTCATATTCTAACAATATGAATTACATAAAATGCACACACAATATTTTAGCTGTGATTATAAACTTGCCCAAAATTCTACTAACTGTCAAGCGTGAAACTTGTAAAACTCAAAATTTAGTCCTAATACTCTTGACTCACTTGGGTTACATGTTAAGAAGAGACATTTGGGGCTCTACGCGCGATGGACTGAATCAGTCTCTGGAGGGTATGTCCTGGGAATCTGCATTTACAATGCTAAACATTTACATATTACCCACACAACTAGCATTCTGGCAAGAGTTCCAACTTCTTCCCTATCTATGAGATCCAGATCCCCCAAGTGGCAGTGCTTCGTTTTGTCTTAGAGACGGACATGGGGTGTTTACCAGAAATGCATAGCTGAGGGACTTCCCTGGTGGCACAGTGGTTAAGAATCCGCCTGCCAGTGCAGGGGTCACGGGTTCGATCCCTGGACTGGGAGGATTCCACATGCCAAGGAGCAACGAAGCCCGTGCGCCACAACTACTAAGCCTACGCTCTAGAGCCTGCGAGCCACAACTGCTGAGTCCGCGTGCCACAACTATTGAAGCCCGTGCACCTAGAGCCCATGCTCTGCAACGAGAGAAGCCACAGCAATGAGAAGCCCGCGCACCGCAACGAAGAGCAGCACCCACTTGCCGCAGCTAGAGAAAGCCTGCATGTAGCAACGGAGACCCAATGCAGCCAAAAATAAATAAACAAACAAATTTAAAAAATTGTTTCCGAAGCAAAAGCATCAGTGACAATACTCAAAGTATTGCCAATGTTGTTATTAAAAAAAGAAAAATCCATAGCTGAAATCTGTAGGCAATACAATTGGGCAACTTCTTCAAAGAGATAATGAATTTTGTCCTTTTTCAAGCATCTCTTTTGGTGTAGAAATGTATGGGCAGGTGTTAAAATCCAATTACAATTAATCGTTTTACATCATCTGGGCAAATTTAATGGTGACCCCCCAACTACAACTTTCTCACCTCACTGATCCACTGATGGGCAAAAATATTCTCTATTTTCTAACAGAAAGATAGAAAGCAAACCTGCATAATAATCCCAGGAGGCTTTGAACAGAAGATTCTGCAGGTGTCCTGTTTATATGGGATTCGGTTTTGGTTTCGTTTGTTTAATCAGTATAGTTCATCTCCTAGAAAGAGGCACACAAATGCTGGTGTAATTTAAGAACAATAGACTGCACTAATCACAGATTGTTAATCCCATCTGCTCCTCATGAGAAGGAAGCAGTGTTCCATGATGTGTCAAAGGACCTATGAGCCTTCCTAAATCTGACCACTCTCCTTATTCTGTCTTCTTGTATTTCTTTCTCCACAGTTCTTTGGTGTCTTTTTTCCTTTCTTCTCATTGCATTGTCACCACAAAGCTTATCTATTTTCATATGAGAGGTTTTCATATGAGAGAGAGGTTTGGGGAGGTTAGGTCAGATTTCATCATGGTCCCCCAATGACAAAATTATCACCTCCTAAGAGTCTGTTATCTCTGGAAAAAAATTATTGCTGTCCTATAAAGAGGAATGTGGTGTTTTGAGTTAGCTTCTTTACTAAGAAGCTAAAGATATTTATTAAGAGTATGCTACATGAATAGCACTTTAAATATTAATTTAATACACTACTTCCTGTCCTTTTATTTCTCTACCTGATACAGCTGTAGGAAAACACACTTGTCGTTCAAGAATATACCTGTTAAAAAAAAGAAAAAGAATATACCTGTTTCTTTTAGCCACGTTTCGTAGTGCCATTCAAAATTAAACTAAATCAAAATGAATATGGTTAGGGAAAAAAAATGTTGGGCAAGAGGCAAGTGGGGTCAGAGTCTCTGCTATTTCTCTGGAGATAGTCTGCAGGGTAAGACAAGGTAGGAGTTCAAGTAATAACAGTTTATCTGTAAAAATCATCCTCCCCAGGAGTCCTTTACAAGATTTCTGAACTTTCAAAAAGCCATATATGGGTGTGCACATGGCACCAGGGGGTTGAAGGCAGTTGGTTAAACCTAACTTTGAATCCAGGGAAAGTCTAGTGAGTTCTACTCAGACCTTTGGGGAAAATGAGGCTAAGCTAGTTTTAGAGGTTGATTTCTGTTACAACTGGCTTCTCTGAAGTACCTTAGCAGAAGTCCAAAATTAGAAAAGAGGAAATGACCTTTTGTTCTACCGAGTGTTTAGTAGGAAATATTGAATCACATTAATGGGTTTCCAAGGCCTGAGGAGGGTTTGGACCTTAAAAAAAAAAAAAAGTACAGTATAATAGTGTTTAAGACTACAAGCTCTATACTCATTATCAATATTAAAACCACACAAGATATTTTTCCAGGTTTATTGAGATATGACTGACATATAACACTATTTGTTTTAGGGGTACAACACAATGATTTGACATATGTATATATTGCACATATAATTTAACATCCGTTTCCTCACAGTTACACATTTTTTTTAATGACGAGAACTTTTAAGATCAACTCTTAGCAATTTTCAAATATTCATTACAGTGTTGTTAACTTTAGTCACCATTACATCCCCAGAACTTACTTATCGTATAACTAGCAGAAGTTTGCACCTTTTGACCACCTTCACCCAGTTCCCCCACCTCCCCCCATCCTGGCAACCACCAGCCTGTTCTCTACATCTTTTTAAACACACACACACACACACACACACGTTAATTTTAGGGGATATATTGGTGAGGGAACGTTTTACATGCCGTTTATACTGAAATGTGAAAAGTCAATGCTATTTAAGCAACCAAATTGCCAATCTGTTATTGTTACAAACAAAAAGGAAAAATAAACTGATTTTTATTTCTAAATAAAGGGTTGCTGAAGGACCTTCGCCTTCCTGGGGTATGACTGAGAAGCTCTGACAACTGAGCCCTAAAGCCCCACAGTCACGGGTCAGGGCAGTTTTAAGCACAATTCTCAGACGAAGGGTCGGCTCCTCCCCAAACCCTCGAGTGAGACGGGGCGGAGCCCGGAGGGCCCCGAAGGCGGGAGGGGCGGGACAGGGCACAAGCGGGGCGGCGGCGGCGGGGGGGCGGGACCTCCGGGTTCCCGCGCGCAGGCCGCAGCGGCCCCTGGTCTCCTTCTGGGTCCCGCGCCATTTCCGCTACTCTCGGCCAAGCGGGACCCACAGGTCTCGTCCCGCCGCTGGGCCGCGCGGAGCTGACCGCCTGGCGGGATGCGGCCGTCCCCGGGGACGTGCTGGCTGCTCTTCTGGCTGCCGCCGCTGGCCATGCTGCCGGCGGACGCGGTGCGCGGCGAGGAGGACGAGGCGGCGTTGTCAGGTAATCGCGGGCACGGGCGGCGGGCGCGCGCACGCTCCTCGGCTCCCCCGCTCCCTATCCCCGCCCTCCTCGCCCCCTCCCCCCGTCTCGCCCGGCTCCCCGGAGATGGACCAAGCTCTCCCTTCTCCGGGCGGCGGGGCGCGGGGAGCTGTTTCCCTGCCCGGCTTAAGGTTCCCTCTGCGGGCGCGGCCTCCCTTACCGCCTGCTTGGGCTTCCCTGGTCTCTGCTGGCACTTGGACATTATAATTTTAGGATTAGAAGCAACTGCAGAGTTCATTCTGGCCCAGTTCCCTCGTTTTGCAGAAGCAGCTGAAGCCCAGAGAAGTTTTGATTAGTCCAAGGACACACAGATAGTCATTGTACAGATGATCCTAGTCTCCCGACTTTCAACACGGCATTTGTATACATCAACTTAGGTTGAAAATATTATTATTTATCTAGGTAAAACTTTGGACTCAAGACTAGAGAAGGTTTGGCTTTAGAATTGGACTAAACTTCCCCTGCCCTTACTAGCTCTGTGACCTTGAGTGAGTCATGCTACTACTGGTCACATGTAAAACACGGATAATATTTCACAGGATTACTGTGATGTTTAACGTGTACTTCGTACAAAGGAAACAAGAAATGGTAGCTGTTCATAGTGTTGTTATGGGCTGTCTGGAGTGGGGCAAGGCAGGAGTTCTAACTCCACAACTGCTACTAATTTGCTATGAGCTTAACGTTTCTTTTTCACTGTTTTCACTATTTTTAAAAGATTTCCTGGAATCACTGTCCACTAACTTCATCTTATTGCCCCCCTGTGGTTGCAAGGGAGGCAACCAAGTGTAGCTGGGCATAGCTGCTACCCTCCAATAAAATCAGGATTGTTTGTCTAAGGATAAAGGCAGTTATCAGATTGAGCTGGAGCTACCAACTCCTCTGTATCTTGCAGTGAGGTACGCCTTGGGGGACTCTCCTATACCAGTTTTCATTGAATGGACATTTGTTGAGTATTTACTATGTGCTAGGCAGTGTTAAAAGTGCTTTAACTGCATTATCTTATTGAATACTCATAGTAGCCATATGGGGTAGGTACCAATTATATACCCATTTTACAAAAGAGGGAACAGAGGCTTGGTAGTAGGAGAGGTAACCAGTATGTACTGATGAAAAAATAAATCACAGATCTGTCTAAGAAGGAGGATTTCTGAGTATGGCTGCAAACAGAAAATTGTAAGTAGCCTTGGACCAGCATCCAGAACCTTGATTTCTCTAGTTCGGTCATTACATTCAGCCACCCACTTGCAGAATTACGTTGGTCCAGGCTCGTCTTTATGGGCCATAGTTTTCTCATCAGTAAAGATGAAGAAGTTCTATTACTGAATGTTCTCCAATAATTTCCTTACCTTTTATTTGCCTCAATGAACCCACTGTTTTTCAGGTTTTTGTTGCCAGATTTAGTGTTAACAATGTCAACTAATTTATTTTGTTAATCAAATCATACATAAATGCTTCTGTTCTGCCTGAGACATGCAGGATGCCCACTGAGTTGATAAAATTCTAGTCGACAGCTAAGAGAAATGGCAACTTCTGTAGCCTTATAGCAACACTTGCCCTTACAGATGGGCTTCACAACTGAGACCTTTTTTTCTTTTACATCTTTATTGGAATATAATTGCTTTACAGTGGTGTGTTAGTTTCTGCTTTATAACAAAGTGAATCAGTTATACATATACATATGTTCCCCTATCTCTTCCCTCTTGCGTCTCCCTCCCTCCCACCCTCCTATCCCACCCCTCCAGGCTGTCACAAAGCTCCGAGCTGATCTCCCTGTGCTATGCGGCTGCTTCCCACTAGCTATCTACCTTACGTTTGGTAGTATATATATGTCCATGCCTCTCTCTCGCTTTGTCACAGCTTACCCTTCCCCCTCCCCATATCCTCAAGTCCATTCTCTAGTAGGTCTGTGTCTTTATTCCTGTCTTACCCCTAGGTTCTTCATGACATATTTTTTTTCTTAGATTCCATATATATGTGTTAGCATACGGTATTTGTCTTTCTCTTTCTGACTTACTTCACTCTGTATGACAGACTCTAGGTCTATCCACCTCATTACAAATAGCTCAATTTCGTTTCTTTCTATGGCTGAGTAATATACCATTGTATATATGTGCCACATCTTCTTTATCCATTCATCCGATGATGGACACTTAGGTTGTTTCCATCTCCGGGCTATTGTAAATAGAGCTGCAATGAACATTTTGGTACATGACTCTTTTTGAATTATGGTTTTCTCAGGGTATATGCCCAGTAGTGGGATTGCTGGGTCATATGGTAGTTCTATTTGTAGTTTTTTAAGGAACCTCCATAATGTTGTCCATAGTGGCTGTACCAATTCACATTCCCACCAGCAGTGCAAGAGTGTTCCCTTTTCTCCACATCCTCTCCAGCATTTATTGTTTCTAGATTTTTTGATCATGGCCGTTCTGACTGGTGTGAGGTGATATCTCATTGTAGTTTTGAGTTGCATTTCTCTAATGATTAATGAAGTTGAGCATTCTTTCATGTGTTTGTTGGCAGTCTGTATATCTTCTTTGGAGAAATGTCTATTTAGTTCTTCTGCCCATTTTTGGATTGGGTTGTTTGTTTTTTTGTTATTGAGCTGCATGAGCTGCTTATATAAATTTTGGAGATTAATCCTTTGTCAGTTGCTTCATTTGCAAATATTTTCTCCCATTCTGAGGGTTGTCTTTTGGTCTTGTTTATGGTTTCCTTTGCTGTGCAAAAGCTTTGAAGTTTCATTAGGTCCCATTTGTTTATTTTTGTTTTTATTTCCATTTCTCTAGGAGGTGGGTCAGAAAGGATCTTGCTGTGATTTATGTCATAGAGTGTTCTGCCTATGTTTTCCTCTAAGAGTTTGATAGTGTCTGCCCTTGCATTTAGGTCTTTAATCCATTTTGAGCTTATTTTTGTGTATGGTGTTAGGGAGTGATCTAATCTCATACTTTTAAATGTACCTGTCCAGTTTTGCCAGCACCACTTATTGAAGAGACTGTCCTTTCTCCACTGTACATTCCTGCCTCCTTTATCAAAGATAAGGTGACCATATGTGCATGGGTTTATCTCTGGGCTTTCTATCCTGTTCCATTGATCTATCTTTCTGTTTTTGTGCCAGTACCATACTGTCTTGATTACTGTAGCTTTGTAGTATAGTCTGAAGTCAGGGAGCCTGATTCCTCCAGCTCTGTTTTTCGTTCTCAAGATTGCTTTGGCTATTCGGGGTCTTTTGTGTTTCCATACAAATTGTGAAATTTTTTGTTCTACTTCTGTGAAAAATACCAGTGGTAGTTTGATAGGGATTGCATTGAATCTGTAGATTGCTTTGGGTAGTAGTGTCATTTTCACAATGTTGATTCTTCCAATCCAAGAACATGGTATATCTCTATCTATTTGTATCATCTTTAATTTCTTTCATCAGTGTCTTATAATTTTCTGCATACAGGTCTTTTGTCTCCTTAGGTAGGTTTATTCCTAGATATTTTATTCTTTTTGTTGCAATGGTAAATGGGAGTTTTTTCTTGATTTCACTTTCAGATTTTTCATCATTAGTGTATAGGAATGCCAGAGATTTCTGTGCATTAATTTTGTATCCTGCTACTTTACCAAATTCATTGATTAGCTCTAGTAGTTTTCTGGTAGCATCTTTAAGATTCTCTATGCATAGTATCATGTCATCTGCAAACAGTGACAGCTTTACTTCTTCTTTTCCAATTTGGATTCCTTTTATTTCCTTTTCTTCTCTGATTGCTGTGGCTAGAACTTCCAAAACTGTGTTGAATAAGAGTGGTGAGAGTGGGCAACCTTGTCTTGTTCCTGATCTTAGTGGAAATGCTTTCAGTTTTTCACCATTGAGGACGATGTTGGCTGTGGGTTTGTCATATATGGCCTTTATTATGTTGAGGAAAGTTCCCACTATGCCTACTTTCTGCAGGGTTTTTATCATAAATGGGTGTTGAATTTTGTCGAAAGCTTTCTCTGCATCTATTGAGATGATCATATGGTTTTTCTCGTTCAATTTGTTAATGTGGTGTATCACATTGATTGTTTTGCGTATATTGAAGAATCCTTGCATTCCTGGAATAAACCCCACTTGATCATGGTGTATGATCCTTTTAATGTGCTGTTGGATTCTGTTTGCTAGTATTTTGTTGAGGATTTTTGCATCTATGTTCATCAGTGATATTGGCCTGTAGTTTTTCTTTCTTTGTGACGTCCTTGTCTGGTTTTGGTATCAAGGTGATGGTGGCTTCGTAGAATGAGTTTGGGAGTGTTCCTCCCTCTGCTATATTTTGGAAGAGTTTTAGAAGGATAGGTGTTAGCTTGTCTCTAAATGTTTGATAGAATTCGCCTGTGAAGCCATCTGGTCCTGGGCTTTTGTTTGTTGGAAGATTTTTAATCACAGTTTCAATTTCAGTGCTTGTGATTGGTCTGTTCATATTTTCTATTTCTTCCTGATTCAGTCTTGGCAGGTTGTGCATTTCTAAGAATTTGTCCATTTCTTCCAGGTTGTCCATTTTATTGGCAGAGTTGCTTGTAGTAATCTCTCATGATCTTTTGTATTTCCGCAGTGTCAGTTGTTACTTCTCCTTTTTCAATTCTAATTCTATTGATTTGAGTCTTCTCCCTTTTTTTCTTGATGAGTCTGGCTAATGCTTTATCAAGTTTGTTTATCTTCTCAAAGAACCAGCTTTTAGTTTTATTGATCTTTGCTATCGTTTCCTTCATTTCTTTTTCATTTATTTCTGATCTGATCTTTATGATTTCTTTCCTTCTGCTAACTTTGGGTTTTTTTTGTTCTTCTTTCTCTAATTGCTTTAGGTGCAAGGTTAGGTTGTTTATTCGAGATGTTTCCTGTTTCTTAAGGTAGGATTGTATTGCTATAAACTTCCCTCTTAGAACTGCTTTTGCTGCATCCCATAGATTTTGGGTTGTCGTGTCTCCATTGTCATTTGTTTCTAGGT